AGTTGTGTACCACGTCGTTGTGAAACCACAACGACGTGGTACACAACTTTAATTTTAAGTGGTGTTCTCGCTTGCATCTTTCTAGAATTCTTAAAATCTGCCCCATTAAACATACCATGCCTAACAGATCTACTTACCCAAGATACATTGATGACGCCCTCTTATTTTATCCCCAAGATACGAACCTTTTAAAGAATAGCTAAACTCAATAAGGTTGAACTAACCATCGAATTCACACACGAATTTGAAACAAATAACTCTCTACCTTTCCTCGATATACTATTAATACGTAACTATAATAAATTAGATTTTAAAGTTTACCGAAATCCCACTAACAAAAATGACCTTATCAATTTCTATTTGTACCACAACCGGAGATCAATTTTTGAGCTTCTATTCGTATATATATATATATATATATATATATATAAATTGATCAATATCGGAGCTAGATTGTTTATAGAGAAAAATTGCGTGGGCATATAAATCAACACTGCATAATGAGTAGCAGTTTCACACCTCAAACGACCTTATGAAGATAGCTTGAAGCATGAAACTGTCAGTTATCATGCAGTGTTTGATTTCTGTGTCCATCACTTTCTCTTTCTTTTTCTCTCCTGAGTCAAACAGACTTATTATTTTGGACTTTCAGTAACTGATACTAACAGGGATTGCATAATCTTCTTGCAGTAGAGCTTTACTCTTTTCGATGACGAGTTGCCACCCTAGACTAAAGAGTTCCATCTACACAGATTTGTGATCTGTTTTTTTTTTCTAGTAAAATGACTGCTGACCAACGTTAGCGAACCTAACCTACAGGACTGGCAGAAGGCAACCGGGCGTTTGACTTTTATTTCATAGAATGACTTCCACCTAAGGCAAGATAGCCTTATCTTTTCTGCTGGTATCTCATAGTTAATGTTGATGGATTCTCGGCTTTTGGAAGGTCATTCGTGCGAATTGAACAAAACAAAATCAATCAGAATTCGAACTCTGCACGCTGATTCAACTTTTCACTATGATAACCGTTCATCGCATGTCAAAAATTAATATACAGAGTGCGATGGATAAACTGTCGTCTGAATTACGCAAATATGAAAATAACACTGACATCTCATTTTAGCAGTTATATTTACCAAAATTACAGGTTAATAAACAGATTTTTTTTCAGCAGATAAAGACAACTGCTCGACCTGAGAAATGAAAGATAGTTCTATAAAAATAGTCATTTATATTTACAGTACAGGAGCAAGTCATCAAAATGAATACATTCAAGGCCAATATAAAAAAAAATCACTGGGAGAAAGTAAATTCAAGATGTTTCGGCAAGCTATTGTGGCAGTTAGCCAGATACTCAGTGAATGTCCCAAATTGACACAAAAAAGCGACGATATGATTGGATTAGTAACAGAATCCACTGGGAAGTATGCCATAAAATTAACTTCAATGTCAAAGAGAAATAGCATGAATATCACCCAGAGGCAGTAGTATAAAATGACAGTCACAAGATATTATATTTCTCGGTCCAGATAGATCATGTCATTGAAGCACGAGGACCCGGCATTATTGACATAGATAAGAAAAGTCTGCCAAATTACTAATTTTTCTGTTCCGTTTTCTTGTACAATTTAAGAATGAACTCCAAATAAAGTGAAAAGAATGAAAAATATCAGATTCTGGCTAGGGAGTTGAAGAAGCTATGGAACATATTGAAGAAATTCTTGTACCAATAGATGCGCTTCGAACACCATCAGTTTCTCTCATTTTAAATTTATTCTTACACCTTCTGTAATATTTCCTGGTGAAGTGATGTAAACCCTATCGCTTTGGTAGTTGACCACAGCTTTCACAGTGAAAAACTTATCGTTCTACTAAACAAAGACTGCATCTCCATCAACATTTTCTTCCCTCTGCCAAGACAATTTTTTGTTTCAAGCACTTGCGTTCAGCTGTCGTCGTTGATTCTTGTATGATTTTATCCCTAAGTCCTCTTTCACAACCTCCTTGGCAACCTATCCAAAATATCCAACCCTTTTGCCATCTTCTTCATGCTTATTCGCGGATTTCTATTCACTCTCTTCTTGGCGGCTTCATTGACATTACTTCTACGGACTGAATGGTTTCTTTCTAGAATTAGATTTGGTGAAGTTGTTTACCCCTCTTGAAACTTTTTCCAAAAAAAAAAAAAAACTGTTTTTCTGCAAATATTCACCTGTTCCACCTTACAATTCTTCATAGGAACCATTTTCAATGATACAATTTGATTACGTTTTGTTTGAGTCACCACATTTAATTAAGCTGTAAAAAATAAAACAAAAGAATATTAGGAAGTCTTATGCAAATTTTTAAATTATTTTTATGAGTAGATATGTTTCAATTTATGTTTAAATAATGGGTAAATATTTATGTGGCAACCAGTACACTAATATTCTTGGTAAAGTTTTGAATCCACACTTCATAAGTGGCTGTTAGTAAATGCCTTTCACAGAAAATGAACACTTGCCTTTTACCCACGGTCGAATACTAACCACTCACGCCTGAGAGAAATAAGCAATGCCTTCAACGATAAAGTCAGCCCAAATCTTGTTTTACTATACAAGTTTTGAAAAATTCTAGTAAATATCTATTTTTCAAGTCGATTCGTCGCAGAGATAGAATCGTCATTGTTCGGTTATCTAGAACTGAATTATGATTTAATACTAAAGTATGCTTAGTACAACACAAGGCCGCGCATATAGAACACCCAGTAAATATTAAACTTACGTATGATGATATAAGATATGGCATCCAAAAGTTCGAGAAAAGGGCATACATAATAGATATGTTATGAACTTTGTGAGTCGGTATTTTACTGCACGCCCATATTGAAGGAGGCGAGCGGAAATTACGTCTTAGGGTAAGTAAATTTTATCATAGTCCTTTCCAGAAATATGTACATACATACATGTGTGTGTGTGTATTTTATCATAGTCATCAGAAATACATACATACATACATACATATGTGTGTTCAAAATTCACTAAGCTGAATTTAATCCTATAAATAGGAGGGTATGCTTAACTATAGATATATTGCTGATTTCCCAGCAACTTTAATTCTGACAAATTTACGAGCAGACTCGAATTCTTGCTGCTCACACCAGTTCACTAAGTGCCCACAGGTGGCGCTATGTACGACACCGTCTCTTAATTGTTTATACTTCTATGGTTGTTACTGCTCCATCGATTCTGTAAAATTCTTAACCTAATTTGCTCATATTTACCGCTAGTAATTTCTTTCAAATTGTAGGCTTCAATAGTGGCTTAAACAAGTTCATATCGACACAAGAAAAGTTTTGACAACCGTGTGAGACGTATGACATTGGCTCATCAGCTATACATAAAACAGTGAATGATGAAAATATTGCAATCCGTTACAGTGTGTGCTTTTAAGAAGCAAAGGAGCATTAAGAAAAAAACGCGAAAGATTGTAAGAGTATTGAGCTCTACTGAGCATTGGTTGAATGGTTTCGATAACGTCGGAGCGTAGCATTGTTAGGCAGGATGTTGTTGGCAATGTAAGGAAAACATTTGGTATTCATTGATCGAGCAGGCAGTGATACCATCCATGAAATTTACAAAATTTTTTTATTAAAATAATCTTTTAGGAAAATAGTTTTCTTAAGAGTGTTATCGCTCTTTCTAGTATTGATTGGGTGGAGGGAGCTACCTCCCTAAACTTTTGTTTGAAGTAGTGTGTAACCTTAAAATTTCGATTATATCATTTTTTCTCTTCGAGTTAAATCTGCTATCCATTTTAGTTGTCGCTGTTATTGAGAGTTCTCAAGTGATGTGGTTTCTATGATTTGGTACAGTTATTTCTTTGTGATTCTGTAGTGCTCGTTCACGCAATTCGAATAATTGGGCTATTTTAGGGTTATAAAAGTTGAATGTCCAGTTAGGGCTTAATTCGCTCCATCATCAATACTCTGCGAGACGAGCCCTTTAAACTTGATTCTGTGGAAGACACTTTAGCGTACTTAGTGCCAAATAAAACAGTGATTGTAATAAATGGGGAAGTGAAAAAAAAATAATAATATAAGGTAGGATTGTTAATAAACGGTGGTGTAGGTATATGTACATGACTGCTTATTTAGCATAGTTAATGCCCAAGGTGTAAAGGAAGAGCAGTTCCCGGTATGCGAGTACCGTGCGAAATTGCTGTTAAAACCACTTTAAACTGACCTTGAGTCACATTCGGTAGCGACGTGAGTTCGATCCTTTGCCGATAATATTCGCTCAAGCCCGGGAGTGGGGAGGGCATCCCCCAGGCAGTACCTCTCCTTCGGGAAGGGGCTGGGTTTATTGTCCAGCGCCCGAGGCGTCCCCAAAATGAGGCAGTGCCAATGGGGCTTGAGAATTTTTCTGCGGTATTGCTGTTAAACTCACTTTAAACTGACCCTGTGTCACATTCAGTAGCGATGTGAGCACACTGAAAAATCAAACTCTCGGGACTGATGAAATACGAAATCGCACTTCATAACAGGTAGGGGTGTTGAAAAATGAGAAAAATCAATAAATGCGGTTGTTGGGAAATTGTTAAAAATAAGACCTCTAGGAAATAAAAACTAAAAATAAATGTCCATCAATGTCTTTAAGTAAAATACTTTAACAAAATCGAAAATATCCCCATGAAGTCTTGCCATTGTAACACTATAAATAAATCTCCATAAGAAGTAAAAAAAAAAAAAAATAAATAAACAAGTGTATCCTCATAATCTCCGGGGAGGCTGAAAATGTAAAAAATACTTAACGAGTGGTTTGTGTTTTTTTTTTTTTTTTTTTTGTGTGTGTGTGTGTGTGTGTGTGTGTGTGTGTGTGTGTGTGTGTTTATTTGGTACCCAAGACTACTTTATCGAAGTAAGGAAAATTTTATTTAAGATAGTCATTTTATAGTTGGCATTTTAAACACGTAGTCAAACGATTTTTCTGGTGTTGTATTTTCGTAGTTTTGGTAACTAGGGCCAAATCGCGCGGGTGATTATACGATCAAAAGTGAGAGCAGACAACACCGTGTTAAAGATTGCTCTTCTCTTCCCACCCCTGAACTACCGAAAGAACCTGGATTCTATTATAGACGCTCTCCGAATTCAGCCGTTTCTTCTCAAGCTCCGAATTATTCAATCAATAAACATCAATGATAACAAACAACAAGGGTCTCCTTGCAAAATTATATTTTCTTTGCTTATTGTTGCTGTTATTGCACAGTCTGTGAATTCGCCGATGGGCGAAAGTAGCTCATTTTTCACTAGAGTTCTCTGTGGGGAACAAAGAGGAACGAAAACTGTGAAGACGAGATGTCTGTAATGAAGAAGTAACGACCTGCGGTAGGTTAATTGTACTTAGTAGCATACGAGAGTGTGTGGTAAACTTGACCTACTGTCTGTGAGTGCTTCAATCGAATTTCTTCCATTGGTCAAATAAATATATCTCCCACAAGCGATTTTCACACAAAAAAACTTTCACATTTTTAAATATTTATTTACATTTGATCGTTTTTCAAATGTTATTAGTTGTTTCACTGTACACACTTCGTATTTTGGAACTGAATTTGCTCCTAGTTTGGAGACACAATATATTTTATCTGAATATAATCAGCTGTAAGTATAAGAACTCCGACAGTATTGTAATCGGTCTTGAAGGATAATATGGTTAAGTATAATGATTTAAATAGGTGTAAATAAATTGTGAGACTCACTGTGGAACAATGGTTAGCAAACTAGTTTCTCAAACCGTTAATACTGTATAACATTCTATCCTTTCTGTGGGCTTCACATAAGTGGCCTTGTGTCAAGTAATCAGACAGACCGGACACGTAACTAAACTATTTGCTCCAGGGTGACATCTTGAAAAAGAAGAGAAAAAGTTTCGCAGCTTTTTAATGTTGCAAATCTGCAAATAATATCTACCAAATATTTTAATGTATACGCTCATCTCCGACGATGTATAGTCATTCTTACTCTTTCTTGCTTTCCGCACACACACACACACACACACACACACACACACACACACACACACACACACACACACACACACACACACACACACACATATATATAGGCACACACAGATTATGTTGAATCAATTGCTAGGTTTGCTGCTAGGAAAGTTGGTTGCCTGTGTTGTGCTAGAGAATTTTTCTCACCAAAATCTACTTTACATATTCATAAGGCCTTGCTTTGAATACTGCTGCCATATCTGGTCTGGTTCTCCTGCTATATATCTAGCGATCCTTGATAAAATCCAAAGAAGAATCAGCAATTTTATTGGTCCTGATCTGGCGTCTGTATTTTTTTTTCTTTTTCTCATTCACTAACACTCAGTAATCCCTTGCGTCCGTGTGTGTGGCTTTATTGCGTTGCTTGAGGTAAAATGATTAAGAATCAAAAAAAAAAAAAAAAAAGGAAGAAAAAGAAAACACAATTTCTTAGTGGTACAAAACTTGAATATAGCATGAAAAATTGAAGATATGTTGAAAATTCTTGTCGGAAATATATAAAAGTAGTGTAAATCCTCTTAAACGGCTAGATTTTCGATCATGCCTTATCAAAGAGACTTGTTAATAAATTTTGAATATTAAATAATAGAACAAATATTATATATATATATATATATATATAAGTATGATTCATCGGATTCGACCGGCAAAGGCTTTTTTTATTCAATAAGCAGTCGTTTACCTAAAGCAAATTTATAAAGAAGCTGTACAAAGTTCATAATGTTTTTGTACGAGTACTGTCCACTGTCGCTAGTTATTATTAATAACATTACTGTTATCACATACAAAAAAGAGAAAAGTTTTGATTAATTTCATCCTGAATTTTTTTAGAAATATCATTTTTAATTTAAACGTATGTAGGACCACCTATTGCGGTAAGGTTGAGTAGGAGAGACCAGACTGAATGTAACCAACCCCCGAAGACTCCAACGCGGAATAAGCAAAGATCTACACGATCTCAACGGCCAAACAAGCGGAAGAGGGCAGCACCAGTCGGGCTGGTGTAAGCAAGTGTGACCAAGCATCCGACAGCCCGATACAACCAGGTTTGTCAGATCTCGCCTGTCTCAATCCCATTTGAGCCGTGAGGGAGGCGCTTCTGAATTGTGCATCAAAATCAAATTCACGAGAATAACCTCGTCAATCTCTCTTTGATTCACAACCATCTTCGCCGCCACCACCAGGGAGTAGAAAGGGAATAGCAAGAGAGGATGACACTCCCGATGTTCGGATACGAGCGGGTATCGACAATGGATGTGGATTGAATTCAAATGATGTCATGTGTAAAATTGCTTGTAATTATATGTAAGTGATATAAAGTTTAATGTTTTCAAAAAACAAACAAAAAAAAATCTGTTATGGGTTACTTGATAATGCCGAAAGATCAAGGTCTTCAACATTAAAAATTTTAAACGTTTTAAGATACCTTCCCCCATTGTGATAGATATTGTGTTTAAAGTGAATTGCGTTTTCGTATAAAAAGTATTTTAAGTCTTACGTTACAATTAATACAATATAGTATTTTGAAGAGGACAGATGAAAGAGATTCTTACATTTTTATGATTGGAATTGACCTCACTGGTTCCAGCCTCAGTGGGATTGGTGTACAGGTCAAAAAGATTTAAATATATGTCTTTTCAACTTAGTATAACGGCAGACCTACTCTTTCTATCACCCTCTTATGCGTCCCCCTATCTCTCTCTATACGGCCCTCCACATCTCTCTCATGCGTTCCTCTCTAGCCCTCTCTCTCTCTCTTATGCGTTCCTCTCTCTCTCTCTCTCTCTCTTATGCGTTCCTCTCTAGCTCCCCACTCTCTCTCTTATGCGTACCTCTCTCTCTCTTTTTCTCTTTTGAGTCAGGTACACAGAAAACTCTGATTCGTCCATCGCCAATGTAGCCAGTAAAAATGCAGCGATAATTCCAATGAGCTGTAGACAAATATTTTTGAGTTGCTCCAGAATTGAAGTTCAACTTATTTCCAACTGCAACAAGTGTAAATTAAATAAGAGGCTTAATGATAGCAATCACTGTAATAATGTAAACTCTCAGAGTGAGAGTACAGAGAAAAGATAAATAAGAACGGACATCTATAATAAATATTTTGCAACAAAAAAATTGCAAAATAAAAATTAAAATAAATGTAAAAGACAAAAATACCTGATTCCAGATATGAACTCGAGTCTTACCCTTGAAAAGCCATCCCCTAAAAGATGAAGAGGAAAATTGAAGCAACTGAAAAAATTTGAAACTCAATTAAGCACTTGAAAATGTCACTGTGCGTGAAACTCAGAGTTGTGCTATTGGTGAGGAAAATGGATAGTTATTATTAATATATAATTTATAACTCTGTTATATTACATCGAGCACTATTTTATTACTACCAGCATTCATTGTACGATATTTTATACATATATATATATGTATGTGTGTGTGGGGGGGGGAAGTGATGTGGGCAAACTTCGGACTACCATCCAAGTGAAGTTATTTTTATATTTATATAGTAGTTCCTTCAGGAAATTCCCCGATGAGGCGACAAAGTGGAAAAGAAGCATTGTAGTGCTGGTAGCATATAAGTATATATATATATATATATATATATATATATATATATATATATATATACACACACACACACACACATACTTCAACTCTTTTCCCCTGTTATTTATCACAGACGGTTTGGCTTTGCGTGTGACTGTTCTACAACTTTTTTTCTTTGGGCCTTGATTTTTAATGTCTGACATCAAGCAAACACATGACAAAAATAAACTGAAGTGAATCACAGTCAGACGAAGCACAACCCAGTACCAACAGCTCCCCCGTCAACGTTTTCGCCTTTTCCCTGTGGAAACTACACTTCGCATACATTTTCTAGGGTGGGAGACTCACAGGCGCAAGGCTTCAGTTTTCAAGCGGAGTCACGAAAAATATACGTAATCCGATACATGCCCACCGAGAAAAATCACCCCCGCTATAAACTCATGCAAAGATTTGAGCCAGCGTATTTGTCACTTTCGAAATTACAAGTTGATCCTCTATTTGCACTGATCGCATCTTTGTGACTAAAAGTCGTCCATACATCAACTCAGTTTAATGGGAGAATCAGAAAGAAGTAAAAAAAATATCATTTGCTCTCCTTTTCAAGAGTTTTTTGTAATTTATAGCGAAATTGTACCAATAAACTTAACCAGACAGTAGTTTAAGTAGAAACTCTAAATTCTTGTATTTTCTTTTTAATTTTCAACTACATTTTGCATCAAACTTAATGACAATTTGAATGCTGGTGTCGCTAATCATTGGTAGTGACATAATTCCGTAATAAATGCTATACAAACAGGCGCCTATATACAAGTTGATTTTGTTGTGATTGTTCTTATGAACAAGTTTGGTATCAATTTTTTTATCGTCTATGGTTATAGTCAAGTTCTGATTGGATGACAAAATGCAGTTATATTCTATGGATTTGTGTTAAAAGTTGCCTTCGCTAAGTCAATTGCAAAAAAAAAAAAGTTTTGTGGTCATTTTTCGTGCTCAAATGTTAATGATATTTATATTGGCACAGTACAAATCCGAAGGAGAGAAAATGGTGATAAAAAGACTATGTTTGGCCGTTCTTCCAAGTTAGAAAGTTGACTTTATTTAAAAGGTGGTCGTGAACTTCTGAACATCAGACTGGTTCGAATCAAAAATTAGTCTATATGTTAATATCAACCTGGACAGATGATCCCATTGTGCAACCCCATTGGGAAGTGTCTGAAAACCATACCATAGTTTGAGCTAAGCCTTGTAAGCGGAACTGTTCGATAGCTGTGGTAGCACGAAGTTACAAGTCAACGTGACTGTACTGGCCTTGTTCAAAACTGCTGATCACGACAGATCATGAACTTTTTCCTCAGAAACTGTAACTGAAGTCCGCTCAAATTAACTAAAGTAAAAAAAACATAGCTTGGTAATTTAAGGTGTTGAAAAAACACAAATATGCCTAAGCAAGCGTCTGCAACATGGATTAGCTAGCAATCCTGGCAGACGGGCATATTCGGAAATGAACAGCCAGTGATTTATTTTACTTTATCAAAGAATCTATTCTAAAATTGAAGAAAATAGATAAAGGGAAACCTAAGATCAAGAATGAAATCATGGGCATTACAATGAGTTAAAAAGTCATGATTGAGGCAAAATAACGGCAGTATTACGTGATCTCCGCTATTATGTATAGCGCAACGATGTAATCATTTGTTTATTGTCGTCATTTTCAAAGCTCTTGAGAAACAAAAGTTTCAAAAATGTATTATTTTGAATGTTTGCTTTATTTTTTTACTCACCAGAATTCAAAACTTATTTTTCTGTTCCCTGTTTTTCTCTCCATAAGTGAATGGAACAAGATTAAGTAGAAAAGAAAAATGTGACAAGCTCATATCACAGTCATTATAATGTCACTTTGAATTGAATATTTTTTTTACCAAAAACGAACCCCAAGCCTATGAAAATTTGAATATTCACTTTTGTATTTTCTAACCGTTATGAACGCTTGTTGCGAACGAAAAACTTTCCATCTGAACATAAATTTGAAAAAGTCAAAGTGTGTCAAAACAGTCTGGCATCGATATTATATATCTAGTAAGAATATTCAGGGTACATGCATTTCTAACTTCTGATTGACTCAGATTTTAAGAATAAAAAATAAAAAGAAGAGTGGGTATTCAATGGATGATTTCATATATTTTATCTTTCCATTTTACAAGGCGCTAACAAAAAAAAACAAAAACAAAAAAACCCCAAAAACCTCTTATTCAAAGTGAAATTTGTAAAGAAACTAACATTTGTTAACGAGAGAAATATTTTGTACAATATTCAAAATACAATATAGGCCTTCAACAAAAACTCCCTTGTGCGCCTTAAACTATCTCGACTGATTAACAATCGAAATTTGTTTTCACTTAGAAAACAAGAATCCATGAAAACAAATCTTTTTCTTAACAACAAAGAAATTTTAACAACTTACGTTTAGAGCAACAATTCATATAAATCAATTTCTTAGCAAAAAAAAAAAATATTTATTTAATTTGAAAAGTTCACAATTCAAAATGTCGAATGTCGAAGTGGGGTGAGAAAGGATGAACTACCTCAGGTGAAACTGGTTCTTTGGCTGCTTTAGACAAAAATTCAGTGTTTCAGAACAAGCGTTCTCAAATATGAGGTAAACTCTCGCACGGTTAGACTGAAATAATAAAGTTTAGAAAAGACATTCGCATATCAAATTTAGAAGATTCTTTTTCTTCCTTCTTTTTCTTCTTTAACAGAAATAATAGTAATAGGAGGAGCAGACTTTTCCCGTCCGAGTCAAAACTTTCTCACAGATGACAGCCTTTTCGCTCAAGTGGTCGAATCCATGATCTCAGCAGCATCAGTAGTTGTATGAGGAGCAGATTTTACACGCCTGAGGCGGTCGATCCTTTCTTCCCGATGAGAACCTTTTTCATCCAAGTGCTCGAATCCTTTCTAATATTACTGTAAAAAATTCCTCTTATCAAACAGATAGCTCCAATCGGATCAAAACAACTCTTTAGATGTCGTATACATTTTATCCCCATTGCTTTAAAACTCGAGAATCACTATCACTATCCCATCCAACTGCACCCATTTGCAATTTCAATTTGGCTGTTTTTTGACAATTCTGCAACATTTTGCCACAGAATGTTTAAATCATCAGGTTTCATTTTGGCGTTCTTTTTATAAAATCAGTATGGAGCATTTTTACTCATCAATTATTATTCATGCTTTTTTTTCTTTTCTTTTTTTCTTATAAATGTTGGCGGTTTCATTTTTAAAGAAACCGTGTTAGTAACCTTCTATTTTTTTAATTAGTTTTTCATACAATTTAATATTACCTGGTTTTATTAAAATAGTTTCTATATTATTTTTTGCACAATTCTAACATTTTAATTATTTTTTCATACAATTTTAATATTATCGTTTTAATTAAGGATAACTTTTATATTTTTTGTATCTTTCGGTTTCATCTATTTTGAATTAATTTCTACCTCTGAACAATAATCCTACACGCAAGCCACCAATCTGCCACTGGGTGGCATACTATTAGCGTTTACCGCTGGTGGCCCGCTGTCAGACAGTCAGCATGTTCCTCGCCGCAATGTTACCACTGGCGGACCGCTTGGGGCCCACCAGTGACTCGACGGTGACTGCCACAGGAGGACCGCTGGCATTGCCATCGGCGGCATGCCAGCAGGCCACTAGCGGCTTGCCGGAAATTTTGATACACCCATCGTAAAAGACTAAGTTCAGCAATTACTTCATAAAATAACTGTGCCGCACACAAACTATACACTGGTTACACATTCCCTTGTATTTCATTGAATTAGTTTATCAAATATCAAGTGAAATGTGCTGGGCAACAAAGAACATAATCACTACTTATGCAGCTTATCCTAAATGATTTTTCTTTCGATTGCACACGCTTCATTTTCTTTCGATTTATACACAACGAAATATATTTATATATAAATTAACACTAACCTAACTGTATATTTAAAATATAATAATTGGTAAACATTAATAAATACTTTTATTATACACTTGAAGAAGGTCAAAAGACACATTGGTTGAAACGTTGTAACTATGAAAATAGCCAATATGAGGTCAACAGGTTTTGAATGAATTATTGTTTAATCCAAAACATTACGTTGCCTGTTACTGCTTTGTTCGACAATATCTAAAGTTACCTGGTACTGTAAATAAAAATCAACTTGACTTCTGTTTGGGTCTTATTTGTCTCTTCTTTGCTTTTTTTTTTTTAAATTTTTTTTATTAAGGCCATTTATTACCGCTAAAACCTTCAGGA